GCGTGACATGGTTTTCTACAATGCTGTCACATGTCACGACACCCGTGTGTATGAAGTGCGCGTCAATGATGTCCATGTGATGGACATCACGACTGGATTGGGGTTTGACAACGATGGCACTTTGAGCCACGTCCTCCTGTTCGTGACGAAGAGGCATGAGGTGGTGCCAAACAGATGGGAAGGTCCCCACCGTGATGCGGTGGGGGACACCATCAAGTACCTTGTGTCCGCCATCGCCCAAGAGTTTGAGAACCGCATGGACGACACGCCTTGGTACGACACCATCTTCGACCCCCCTCTGGAGGGCAAGGGGTACTTGCACGGCCTGGTGGATACATGGGTGCCTCAGGATGACCTTCGTGTCCGTAAATGGTGATCGCCATAGACGTTAACCGCCGGTGATGTGTGTCGATGTGAGTGCGGTGGTGACATTCGGTCGCTGGGTTTATTTTCTCAGTCGTTGGGGTCGTTCCGTGTGTTGCGGCTCCGAGATCGGTTTAACAGTCGCTGTTTCGCAGTAGTGTTTGGGAGAGAAGGTTCGAGGCACAATCAATGCCTGTTTCGATGTAGTGCCCCAGCGAAGGGGCAGATAGGACGATTTCGTCTGCAGCGGTGTTGTGACATGTCTGCAGCGGTGTTGTTGGCGATGATAATGATGATGACGAGTTATATGACGGCGGCGATGATGATGATGACGAGTTATATGACGGCGGCGATGATGATGATGACGAGTTATATGACGGCGGCCATTAACATAATGATGATGACATGTCTGCAGCGGTGTTCTTGGCGGTGATTCTTTGTGGATTGCATTTTTTTTTGGGGGGGGGGAACGTGTCTTGTAAGTAGTGGGATCCATCGGGCGAGACCGTGGCGAAACGAACTGCCGGTCGTGATGTCGGCGGTGGTTGGGACATGGGAGATGATGGTGTCGACGATGATGATGATGACGAGTTATATGACGGTGGCGATGATGATGATGATGACGATACTTCGTCATCACCATCATCATCGCCGCCGTCATCGAACTCGTCTTCATCATTTTCGTCGACACAATCATCATTGACGTCCCAACCATCGCCGACATCATCATCGACGCATCATTCTCGTATGGAGTCCATGGACAGCGTCCGTGCAGAGTGTGCATCGCAATCGGGACAGTGACATGCCAGTTCTCGCCAATGTCAATTGCTGAGATGGAGGTTGTTTCAACGAATGCAACACGTGTGCCACTTTTATGAATGCGGTCCTTTTGAATTCCGAATGTTGTCTCTCATCTCATCTCCTTCTGGGTATATGTTGTCCATTTTCATTTCTTTTTCTGTTCTTGAACGTTCCTTGTGCCAATACATTTGACAGGGTGGGTCATGAAGGTGGAATTGACTTTATTTTTTTTGTTTGTTCGTGGTTGGAGCCAGTTTTGTGCATGGGTGTACGCACAAACTCGTATTATATGTTTTCTTTATTGCACATGTATATATAAGAATATATATATATATATATATTCTTAAAAAGACTCAATTCTAATTTATTTTTAAGTCCGTAGCGTATACCAATTCTGCCATACCCCCTTAATGCTGCATATATATATGACGATATATATATATATATATATATATACATATATATATATATATAGAGAGAGAGAGAGAGAGAGTGAGAGAGAGAGAGAGAGAAAGAGAGAACGAGAACGTGTTTTTTTCCATCACTGAATTTCACTGGAACTATGACAATCTCGCACACAAACCTGAAACCCTATGAACCACCAATCCGACCCGACCCCGGACCCGCTCCTGCTGCCACTCCCTGCCGCTGTCCCTAAATCCTACGTGGCATGTCTTCCATGTCGTCAACTATCGCCACGGACATGGCGGCAGCGCACCATGAACCGCCACGTGGTGGTCCACATGCTCGATCAGACTCCTGTGAACCAACGCCCCTAGCGTGGACCCGTTTGTGGGGTCATCGTCCACCACGGGCTCGACGTTGAGGTCGGGCATGTGACGAACATACGACGACGATCTCTCCGCCGACGACGGCATCTGCGATGACCATCGTCACCATCGCTGTCGCTGCCACTATCGAGCACACCAGGGTCAAATTCCACCCTGTGCTCGATCATCAAGTTGTGGAGGATGCAGATTGCCATCACTTCCTTGCAAATGGTTTTCATGTTGCTGATGTGCGGTCGGATGAAATTCCTCCACACGGCCTTCAGTCGGCCGAAGCAGCGCTCGATGCAAGACCGCACCGCCGAGTGACAGTTGTCGTAGGTTCGTTCCTGAGCTGTTGTAGCCGTCCTCCCGACAGGTGTCATGATCCATGGCAGGAGAGGGTAACCTTGATCACCAAGCACATACCATCCCACGTGTCTGCCGTCGTGCAGGTGTGCACCTCCCTCGCTGAAGACACCTGCCCCTTGCGAGACTTGACGGAACAGTTCCGAAATACACAAAACTCTCGAGTCATGCACAGACCCTGGGCACCCCACGTGAACACTAGTGATTCTGCACTCGTAGTCACAAACTACCTAACACTGGACAAAGAATTGTCCTGTGTGATGGTAGTAGCATTCCCCGCGCATACCCTTCGGTTTGTCGATGTACAAATGGGTGCCATCAATTGCACCGATGCAACCGGCGAACCCTTTCGCCTCGAAAGCGTTCTCCACTTCCTGCATTCGAGGGCCAGTCGGCCACCGAAGGAGATGGCCATACTCGCTGATGATAGCATCCGCGACCTCTTCGTTGCAACGCAAGGCACTCGCAAGGCCCATGCCCATGCCATGCGAGGTCTGCCGGTAATACCCGCCGGTCGCCCACCTAATGAGAGCCATRGCGAACTTCTGACCAGYAGGAATAGGATTCCTGAAGTTCGTTGGGGMTCGCTGGATATGGGGTGCAATTCTACCCAGCACTTCGAAGAATAGCGGGCGAGGCAGTCTGCAGAATCGGACAAACACCTTGTCGTGYTCACGGCCAACTCGCTGCAAATCCCTCCACACASCCCCGCTTCGTTCCAYGACCCATATCCGYCGTCGGCGCTCCATGCGTCTTCCCAACTCCTCCGCMGCCAAACTGGYGAGAGCGAATCCGTGCATCACCCCGCCTGCAAGGAGCGTCAACGACGTCGCCGCGTCCCCGAACAGGAACGGGGTGAATGCGACAGCCTCGAGGACGGCMATGGCCGCCRCATTGCGCCTKTGCACCCACTGGGTTATGGCGAAAACCAAGAAGAAGAGCATGTCTTCCCGCTCCTGTGAAGAACTTGCAGATGGAACCGGACTGTCCATCTCCTCTGTTACCTGCAGTTTGCAAACCACCACACGACGGGCCGCCACACGCCTCCCACACGCCTCCCACACAAGCACACCTCTCCCCCGCGGATATGGAGCGAATGGACGCAGTTCCCGAATGCCCTCTGAAGTGGTCACATCACCACGGCGCTCTCCGCGATGCAGGTGTCACTTCCAAATAACGGACCACATTTCATCGAAAATGAATTTGAAAACGCCGCCGGGAGCCTCCTCAACGGCTAGTTTCACACTCAGGGCACCGTGTACCACCAGGGGACAGCGCCACACAGTTCCACGGCATGTCGGTCGCGATGCGACCACGGCGTCCCGCACTTCTGCCGCTGGTTCAAGGAGCTGGACCACTAGTTCACCACACTTTCCATTTCGGGAAGCGACCTGCCCATATTTCCTTTTCGGGAATGAAAGTCATTTTCCAAGAGGCCGGCAAGACCGTGGCGGTGGGGTCTCAATTTTTTATGGAAATGGTTATCCAGACGACGCTGGCCGTTTTTCGTGGCCGAACAAGTTTTCCAACCGCTGAGCAGTGGGGTCCAAGCCGAAGAAAAAAGAAAGGGAAACAAATTCAAACAATGTTCCGTTCCTTTTTTTTTCCTTTTCTCATTCCTTTTCTTTTGTTTCTCTTTTTCCCTTGTTTTTTTTTTTTTGGAAGAATCATTAGCTTTTATTACAAATGAAAGGAGTTAAGGACCATGAAAGTCCTGAGCATGGGTTCAGAGAGGGTTTAGGGTTTAAGGGGGTTTGGGACAATGCAAGGCCCCGGTAATCTTCCTGCATCATGTTGCCTAGTACCCCATACTGTTGTGGGTCTTTTGCCCCCAGGCTCTAAGATTCACGAACGTCCTAAGCATGGGTCCACACAGGGTCCATGTTTAAAATGGCATACAATAGGGTGACAATACACAGGGGGGCTGCAAAAATAGGGTAGGTCCAATGGATAAGGATGCTCCGACATGGGATGGGAGACACGAGCAGCTCCAACGGAAAACGGGGTTTCGGGTATAGAAGTAAGACGACCTCAGCCCTACAAATAAACCGAAACTCTGTACTGCAAGATGTTCAAAGGGATGTTGGACCCGGTTTCCAGCAGGTGCTGAAGCAGCCCGATAGGTAAACCCTCAATTCCGACGGTTCTCTCACCACCGCCGGGATAGAGGGTTTACGCAGGGGTTATTCAGTCAAAAAAAAAAAAAAAAAAAAAAAAAAAAAAAAAAAAAGAGGCCGGGAATTCCTCACAAACAACCCGGAAGATATGACCAAAAACCCTAATTGGGCTGTTGCTGGAAAACGGGTCCAACGTCCCTTCCTTTCACTGGTCTATCCTCATGTTCCAAAATCGCTTGAAGCTCAAAGTAATTTCACGTAGGAACGAGGCACCATCCTACTTGGTGTTAAAGTTCAGTCAAGCAGATCGTTGCAGTGTTGCTCATCGATATTAAACTACTATCGCATCATGTTGAGTTGCCTAAATCGGCAATATTACTTTCCACCAGGATTCAACTAGACGGCTAAGTCGTTAGGAACTAAAACTACCTATAAGCTCAAAGACCAGGAGCTGGGCAAAAAGAAAAAGTTGTAGGGTTACCCTCCCATCATCACTGTCCAATCACACTGTAAAGAGCCTTTGTTGCCTAGACGGGTTTCCCACCACGCACCCAATGGATACAACTCTAGTTTGCTCTTCACCGGGTCTCTCATTTCGTCCAACCATTGGTATTCCCACTGCTCCCGTGTGCTAACTACTCCTATAATGACTACAATCGACTAATGCTCCCACCACTGACGATGACACTCACACTGCCCTCGTAGTGTCGTTGTCGATAGAAGAATAAGTCGTGGGGATACCCTCTCATCATCACTGTCCAGAACACTGTAAAGAGTCTTTGTTGCCAAGACGGGTTTCCCACCACGCACCCAATGGATACAACTCTAGTTTGCTCTTCACCGGGTCTCTTGTATCATCCAACAATGTTCCCACTGCTCCTTCGTGCTGACTATTCTTATAATGACTACAAAGAAAACAACTTATCAAAAGTGTTACGATCCTGGCCAATTTCGAAGTATACATTCATCAGAAAGTACAATGCCGTCCAATTGCAAAAATAAATGAATGAACTTGAGAGAAGAGAGAGGGAAAGAAGAGGAAGAAGACGTAAGAAAGAAGAAGAAGATGATGTACTCCAGCATAGACCAATGGCAAGGCTCTTCTTCTTCGCCAACCAATCTCCTCCTCCTTATCTCCTCCCCTCTTATTCAAACAAGAAATAACAATAATAATGTTGAATGGCTGAACCAGAATCAATGTTCGAATCCCACTTCTACTGCAGGCACAACATGAGGTCCACCATAGCTGTGGCCACCTTCCTCTTCCTCTTCATATAGGCCAAGGCTATGGCGGAGCACTGAGGGCTCTACCCTCCTGTCCAAGGGACAACCCAAAGCAGCTATATCGCTGCTCTCTTGTCCCAAGGTCAACGACAGGCAGCTATGCCGCTGCCCACTCAACCGCCATGCCTGACTCTGTCCCGAGCTTCCTTGATGCGGCACTACCCAAACTGGGCCCTTCGAG